TTGGAGCTTTACACTGCCCTACTTTAAAATGCCCTACTTTTCCGCAATTAAAACCTGGAGCTTTACACTGATATTTAAAATGCCCTACTTTTCCGCAATTAAAACATTTTTTGTCCTTACCTCCCCCTTTTTGTTTTAATAAAGGGGTAATGGCTCCCTTTTCAAAAGCGTCCACATATGCTGCCGTATTTAACTGTGTGGTCCTTTCTGCTAGCTCAATCATATCTGTGACTTCTGCACCCTTTGGCAATGTACCTAGTGCCTGCTTGGTTTTTTCATTGGCATTATCAAAAGCTAACATTTTAAACATTAGTTGCTTCATGGACTCATCGAGATCAGGGTGGCTATTAATTGCTAAGTACAATTTATCCACAAAATGTGCATAGCTGTCATTTGGTCCTTGCTTAATGTGGGTAAATGCATAAGGCTTTCCTGGCTCGTGTACAGAAAGTATGGCTTGTAGCGCTAACTTTTGAGACAACTGTAGAACCTCTACTGCAAATTGCGATTGCATTTGGGCATTGGCAAACGGACCCACTCCCATTAACATTTGTGCTTGGACCCCGTACAATGGATCATTTTGTTGACGTGGCTTAGCTTGTTCTGCATCACATAACCGTTGCCAAGCTCTGTGAAACATGAGCTGTTGTGATGGAGTAAGTAACACATTTGCTACCTGTAGACTATCAATTGGTATCAACAAACCAGCAGTAAATATATAACAAATGATGTGCTGTGTAAGCTGTGACTGTAACCCATATTGTGCAATGGCAGATCGTGCCCATTCCAAAATTTTCCAAACAAAAGCCTCCCATGTATACTCCTGCGCCCCCGGATTAATAGTAACAGGAAGATCTTGAGGTACAAAGGACCCTTCTACGATGGCATCTTTAATAATTCCCTTCCATTGCTGAGATGAGTTATTAGATCTCTGGAGAGCTGGGGTAAAAAGATTTTCAGGCGGTGGTGGGGAGGGGGCGGGGGTGGGTGCTCATAGCACTGGCAGAGCCAGGAGTGATGCCCCTGCTGGTGTTAGCACAGAAAATGGGTTGGACGGGTCGCTAGTTCTGTTATACAGCAGCGAGTCGTGTGCTTGGTCAGTGAAAGGCTTCGCTGTCGAGCCCTGGTTTTGTAGGTCGAGGTCGATAATCTTATCCAAAACTTTTTTCAGCAATTCTTCCACCAGTCCCTGGTGACTGGGTGTCGCTGCTGCTCTCGTAGATGACGTGGACGCGGGCAGTGGTGGGTACAGTTCCGCCTTTGGTCTGCAGGCTGGACCGCCCTCTTCTTGGTTGTTGTGCGGCTTCACTTCAGCTTCAGCTTCAGCTGGTTTTGTTCCGTCCTGCTGTGCCCATCCAGGCGCCAGGGCGGTGACTGGCCCCGGGAGGTGCTCTGGTGGCAGGGGGGGCACAGCAGGAACCCGAGGACCTGGTATCGTGAAGTTTTGGGCAAAAGGATTTATAGGGGAAGAAAAGCCTGTGGCAGCAATGCTCTTATCCCCTCCATTAGGAGTTAGGGCAGCGAAAGCAGAAGTGGCAGCCACCTGCTCCCCTTTCATAGACCGTAAAGTTTCTCTGATTGATTTCCATAACGTAGAATATTTGCTAGCCTCTTTTCCATCTTTTCCTCCACTACTGATGTTATCCCATAGGCTTAGACCTATGGCTTCCCAGGTGGACAACGCAAACGCTGCACCGATCCCAGAGATTAAATTTCTGTCCTGTGCCCACTGCAACAAGCCTTCGAGTGCTTGTGTCTCGTAAGAAATTCCTCTCACAGAGAGTATATGTTGGAGGAGCTTCACTACTGCTTCCTCTTCTTTAGTAAGTGTAGACCCCATCTCCTCCCCAGCCGCTCACTTGCCTCTTAGTGAGTTTCCTTCAGGGACTGTGAGTCCCAGGTGCACGTTTTGCCCACACGCTGGGCACGGCAGCAGGCAGTCACTGCGGCAGCGGCTGCTTTCGGTCGCCTTTCCACCCTCTTCCTCCTGCCTTCTTCACGCTGCCTGTGGCAGCTTTAGCAGCGAATCTGAGGGTCCCTGTTCCTGGACTATCACTTTTGGCAACGGGGGCCTAACGGGAGCACTCGACCAACTGGCTTCTACTCTCAGTCATGTAAGGATTTGGAAAAGCGATATTCCATTCTGGAGCAGGGATTGTTAACAGTGTGTGCAGCACTGGAGGAAGTCAGCAGAATCATTAAAAAACAAAGGGTAATTCTTCAAAGTAGTTAACCAAGAGCTGTCTGGAAAGGCCCCTCCAGAAGGAATGTCCCAAAAGGGGACAATCAGGAAGAGGTGCAACCAAACTGAGTACAATTCCGACCTTTTCAAGCTTGAAGAAAGCCCAGATAAACAATTGAAGCTTCAGGAACAAATTGGATCCGCAGATGAGAAAGATTTAACAATGAAAACTCCCAGTCCAATTAAAGAGGCCCTGGAATACAAGAGTGAAATGGTTAATGCTTCAGATACTTCATCTCAAAGATGAAGGGAAAACCTGGTTGTTTAAATCTGCTGCAGTTAAACCTTCCACAGGCGAACAAATGATAACTCATGATAAGGGCAGTGCCCAAGTGGGGGAGCTGGACACTGTTCTTAATGTTTTTGTAAAAGAAAAAGCCTCCAAGGACGCTGTGGACATTCACACAGATTCCTTTGCAGTCTTCAAGGGCTGTGTGGAGTGGATAACTTTCTGGGATCAGAATAATTGTGAAATTGCTGGGGTGCCAGTTTGGCTTAAGGAGAAATGGCAACAAATACTGGAAATTGCTAAAGAGAACCCTTATGTTCATGTAGGGTGGATTCCTTCTCACCAGACTCATTTGAAAAATGAAGCTAGGAAGTGAAATAACTGTGTTGATGAGCTAAGTAGAATTGATGTGATGGATATCTGATCAGCTATCAGTGAAGGAGAAAATCAGGAGTGGAAAAGATTGCTGGAATGGTTCCAGTGTAAAATAGGCCATTCAGGAATCTTTGATTTATACCAAGAGGCACAAGCCTGTGGGTGGCCTGTGACCTGTGAGCAGTGCAAAACAGTCATTTCTTCATGTGGTCTTTGCAAAATCAGACTTGGGGAACATCCACCAACATCTGATCATTTGCATATCAGGGAAGGAAAACCCTTGTGGTCCACATGGCAGGTGGAACACATTGGTCCTTTCTGAAGATCAGGAAACAAACATCACATCATTGGGATTGTGGTGCCAGGACTGACCTGTGCTGAAGCTGTTTCTAAAGCAAATGGGAAAAACACAGTTCATTTTCTGGAAAAGGTATTTGGAGTTCTGCCTAAACCCACAAATTTTCAATCTGAACAACGGAACTCGCTTCACCTCACACTTGGTACAACAATGGGCTAAAAGGGAAGGTATCAAATGGACATTTCATGGCCCATACTACCCACAAACTAATGGGATAGGAGAACATACTAATGGGTTAATTAAAAATCTCATTCGCCCGCAAGACTCCAGACAGGATGAGAGGCTGAGATTTGCAGTCACTGCTATAAACAACAGGTGGGGGTGAACAGGTGCCCCCTCCTCAATGCCTTTTTCCCCACGTCACCTACTCAGGATAGTGGCCAGCACAGAACACTGTGTATTACCTGTTTGTTAAAAATAGTAATAATTAGTAGCCATGAAGCTTTCAAAGATATCCTGCAGGACTCCAGACAGGATGAGAGGCTGAGATTTGCAGTCACTGCTATAAACAACAGGTGGGGGTGAACAGGTGCCCCCTCCTCAATGCCTTTTTCCCCACGTCACCTACTCAGGATAGTGGCCAGCACAGAACACTGTGTATTACCTGTTTGTTAAAAATAGTAATAATTAGTAGCCATGAAGCTTTCAAAGATATATTAGATTGTTAGACATAACATTGTATGCTATGTCTGGGAATTGTTCCCTTGCTTGTTGTTATGGATATTTTATCTGTATTTTTATATTTACATTTGTTTTTACACCTGAGAAGGGGAAGGATCTAATGTGAAGAAAGGGTTTGGACAAGAGCCTGGTTGACACATACTCTGATGGACAGTAAGGACACCACATTATTGCTGCTTTAAAAGCCACGGGGTGAGATGTGGGAAATGGTCCATCTTCTCTCCCCCACATCAGACTAAACAAAATGCCTTTCAAGCCAGCAAAGCAAGAGCAGTATCTTTTAGCTGGTTTAACCAAGGATGGAACAGGCTCCTTGCTCTAGCAGATAAGTCCACAGCAAGAAAAGAGCATCAGGGTTCTGATAACTAGCAGAAACAAGGAACAGCAGGTTAAAGATGCCTCTGACAGAGCACGTACCTGGCCAGTGCTCATTGGCTAATTGGAACAGAGGTACTTTTCTTGAAGAGTGGTTTCTGCTCTATAAAAGAGGGTAAGACCTGCAGGCTGGGGCTCTGCCTGCCCAGGAGGAGACCCTGCTGCTGCACCAGGTGCCCCTGGAATGCCAGCCCCGCTGTCCAGAGGAGCCGAGAGGGAAGAGGGGGCTGCCCCGCGACCGCTGCCCGGAGAAGGGAAAGGGGGCACCTGTGCCCGCTCCCGGGGGACCCTGCCTGCTCCCTGGGGTTCCAGCCTGCTGGCCGAACCCTGCCCGCTCCCCAGGGATCCCTGCCCACTCCCCAGGGATCCCTGCCCGCTCCCCAGGGATCCCCGCCCGCTCCCCAGGGATCTCTGCCCACTCCCCAAGGATCCCTGCCCGCTCCTCAGGGATCCCCACCTGCTCCCCAGGGATCCCTGCCAGCCCAGCCTGAACCCAACAGGAGCAGGAGGAGCTTGCCCAACCT